GGACTGGCAGCCAGAGGGGAGGGCAGGGGTCAGCATGACGGGGCCAGGGCACTTTCAGAGCAGCCGAGGCCTGCAGCTCTGGCAAGGCTCTGGGCTGCAGACAGGAGGGAATAGGGCACATGGAGCCACAAAGAGAGTGAGTGGCCAGTAAGATGTCCCCATGAGCACCCACAGCCAGTGTGTCCGGGCGGGGGGTCCAAACACTTGGCAGGGATCTGGCCCTGCTGTGCACTGACTCTGTGCCAGGTGCCCAGCTCACACTTCTGCTAGATCACCCATTTGACCTTTGTGACAGTTTTTTCTCTCATAGAGAAAAGGTGGAAACAGAGGCCAAGTCCCTTCTCAAGGTCACGCAGTGAGTGGTGAACCCCTGGTTTCTCAGAGGCAGACGGGAAGCCTGTGCTGCACCGGCTGTGCCTGCGATGAGCACCCACCCTGCAGCATCTGAGCCACATGGGGGTGACATGGGAGCTGGGGAACACCCCACATGGCTGCAACTTCTCCTTAGCCATTATGAAGATGTCTGGTCATCTAGCTCTTATTTGACCAAAGGTGTTCAGGCAGGTTCAAGGCCGTCCTCAGAGTCATGCCTCTGGTAAGCTGTGGGCTGAGGACAAGAACCCAAACCTGGACCCCCCTACCACGAGGAGGGTAGGAAAAAGATGAGCCTGGCCGCTCCACCTGACCACCCCCACCACATCTTGTTTGCCCTTGGATGCAAAGACAGAGGAGACAGCAACACGCACCCTAGGAGTCCTGAGTCCCGGGAGTCCTGAGAGGACAGAACGAGGAAACACAGTGTTTCCATCCACCCCAGGGGCCATGGACCTATCCTATCCCTTTCTAGTAAAAGGTGACATTTCTTGTGTGTGACTTTGTGCTGAGTGCCATACTAAGAGCTGGGTTGAGAGTTCTATTCCTGTTAACTCCTGGGATCCACTGGCAGGCCCCTTCTGCAGACAGGAAACTAAATAGATACGTTATAGTTAAGTAACTCGGCCCGGGCTGTGCATTCTGGAGAAGGGAAATTCAACGGTGATCCCAGCAGCCTGGCTACAGAGACTAAGCCCTTTGAGCCAGCACCCTGCCTCTCAGCCTGGGCTGGTCTCTCAGTGTGGGGCCCTGGATAGACTTGGCCCCCCACCCAACCTCCACTTGGCTCTACTCCTTCTACCCCGCCAGTAATCGTAAATGCTGCTGATCCTCCTTTGGATGAGAAGGTGAGTCTGGCAGGAGAGAGGGAAACAGTGGTGACAAATCCCCCCTGGCCAGAGGGGCTACAGGGAGGGCTCCTCTCTCCCAGCTCTGGCCAAGCTGGCCAGTGGGTGGTGGGCACTCACCACTGAGACTGTATCCCCAGCACACGCCATGGGCCCTTCTGGGGGCGGGGGGACCGTATGTCTTGTTCCTGGCTGCCCATCAAAGGGCCTCCCACGTGGCAAAGCTCAGCATTTTAAAAGCTGGTTCTGCCCACTGGCTCTAAAGCAAACAGGTGTAGCTGTATCTCCCTGAAAATGCAGTGTTAGAGGTGGGCCTGGCCAACGTGGTCTGCACTCCTTGGGTCTTAACGAGAAGCCTAGGCTTGAGGGGCTGGGATGGCTGGAGGGTCATGGGTGTGGCAGAGCCCGACCAGTGCTGGCAAGACACCTTGCTCGGAGACGGGGCTCTGATACCCTGCCAGCTGGTGGACTCCAGACCAGTGTTCGTCTACACAGCAGGCAGTGTGACTCCCTGTCTCAAGTGTCCTGAGGTAGAGTTGGCATGTGAGGGGCACTGGGTAGGAGCATAGCTCTTTCCAGAAGCACAGGACAGGGCTGCAGAGGCGCCACCCCAGCCATTCTCTTCTGCCCCTCTGATGTCCTGATCCTTTTCAGCTGCTTGAGTGACCATGAATGACCAACATCACAATGTTTTGTGCTCAGGGACCTTCTTGTGTTCCCCACTGTGTTCCTAGGAGAGTGACCATACTCTCTGTAATGATCCCCTGAAAGGCAGGCATTACCCCTACTTTACAGATAGAAAATCCAGGCTGAGAGAAGCTCAGGGACTGGGACTTACCCAATCTCACATTTAGTGTGAGAGCTGGGATTCGAATCTGATTTTTTCCAGTGCTAACCTATTGCTCAGAGACACTCCTTTGGGTCCCCTACATTGCTCCATGTCCCATGGGTCTAGCTGGGCAGACTGAGAAAGCAAGGCTCCGACTACTCTGCCCCTGGGCTGTGTCTGCAGCAACAGTCATGGCACACAAGGACATTTCTCCCTCTAAGATGAAAAGCCGGCTTACCTGCTGTCTGCTCCAACATGGTGGGTGTCCCCAGCCTAGTGTTTCTGTCCTATACTGCAACCCACGGCACATGCAGACATCTGTCTAGGCTCCATAGGACCTCGCGGGGAGGGGAGTCCGGCACAAACATGAAGCTTGTGCTGCTTGTTGAACTGCGACTAATAAAGTAGAGAACTCTCTGGAGTTTTACCAAATGGAGAAAGGGGTCAGGCTGAGGTGAACTGCTGCTGAGAGCACACACTGCATCTTATTTAATTCTGTGCCTCTGGCCTCCGACCCTCCCCAGGGCTTGTTTAGTGCATAGAGGGGCAGATGGGAGAACCTGGGGATGCCGGCTGGCGATGGGCTGGTGATGGGCTGGTGATGGGCTTGCTGCAGGTCACCCACTGACTGCCTGCTCCTAGGAGAGGACACAGCAGGGCTGGGCTCCGAGCCCCCCATTGTAGCAGCTTTCTGAGCATTTCTTAAGAGAAACTTGCAGGCCCTCACAGCCGGTAACCAGGCAGAATTGCTTTCTGATTATTAGTTTTCCAGCTGAATGAGATTCAGTTAATGGGAGACTCACTAGGTCTTTTTGTGCCCTAAGGAAAGTGAGACATTCTGCCTCGCCAGAAATGAGTTTCTGGTTCTGCAGCCATAGCTCCCAGGTCTGAAGCCCTGGTCCAGATGTCCAGGACAAGATGGCCAAAGGTGTGCTCTTCTTCGTAGGACATCTCTTTACTAAGAGCCAGAGGGCAACACAATCAAAAGGGACCTGAAAAAGGCTCTGTTCCCATAGCTGGCTGCCACCCTCCTTGGAGGCAAAGGGGGTAGCCTTTCAGGATCACGGCGGGACACACAGATCACCAAACTTTCTGCTTCATTTTCTGAGACTCACAGAGGGACATGCCTTGCCCAAGGCTGTACACTGGTCCAGGCTGGCACTAAGACTAGAAGCTGGGCTCCCTAATTCCTAAGCATGTCCCTTCCACATGTCCAGCCCATGACCCGCTCCAAGGAGCCAACTGGGTACCAAGCCTACCACTTAACAGAGGGGTGAGCCAAGCTTATGGACAGAAGCCCAAACCCAATGGCCGTGCAGGACACGGGTCTGTGTGCTGCTGCACCCTACTCGGGCCTCACACTGAGGTCAGAGTGAGGTCAGCAGTGTAGTCTCCAAGACGATTTCTTATTCTATTAGTATTTCTTTGGTTTTTGAAAGATGGCCCTGAAATAGTGGATTACAGTGGTTGGGAAGACTCAAAGTCCTAGTTACAGCACATGTTTTGAGAATATACACAAACGAGGAATATAAAACTGTTTCAAATTTTATCAGAAAGTGAAATTATGCAAAATGGATTAAGACGAGCAGTTTCCTGGTAGAGATTCGCCTTTCCTCTGCCCTATTCCATTCTGCTAGATTTTTTTTGCTGTACAATCCCCTGCCACACTCCTACCAATACTTGGAGGTGACAGGCAAAGGGACAGCAGAGTTGAGCAGTAGCTGTGTTGGTGGGAGTGTGAGGGGCCAAATGCACAGAGAGCCAAACTCAAAGAGGGCGATGGACACACCAAACTTTCCTGCCCCGGGGCCTTTGCAAATGCTGTTCCTGCTACCAAAAAATCTTACCCGGGAATCTGTATGGCTTTCACTGCATGCAGCATTCTCTGCCCAAATGCCCTCCTTGCAGAGGCTTCCCTGGTCACCCTAAACTAGCATCACTGTCCGCTGCTGTGCAGCATTCCTCTGCATAGCCTTGCTCAGGAAATAGCACTCTGTTGCCTACCAGACTACTTGTCTGTCTCCTTCCACCAGGAGGCAGGGAGTTTGTCTGTTGCTCTAACTGCTGTGTCCTCCCTGCTGAGAACACTGCAGGCTGAGTGAGTTGTGACACAGCCAGGCACTCTGCACTCAGGAGCAAAAGTTCACTGTAGGTTTTGTCTCCACAGAGGTGAGGAGCACCGTATTTCTGCGCTCAGTGTTCCTACATGGAAAATGGGGTGTTCCTACATGGAAAATGGGATGTTCCTAACGGCAGCCTTGTCTACGAACAGCCCAGGAGGGTGTCCCCAGCAGCTAGGCAGGTGCTTCCTGACCTCTGCAGCTTGGGTTTGCAGGTTTTCCTCTCCAAGCTGCACTTTGCTTATTTCTGACAGCTGATCAGCCATCCTCAGGGTGGGGAAGACAGAACTCGGCTTACAGACTTCCTTTGGTTTTTGCCAAAACAACAAAACCAGAAATACTACAAAACCACACATGTAGATAGAACTGTCCAGAGCTGCAGAGAGCACAGCCGAGCCCTGTGGTTGGGGCAGGATGTGAGGCACACAGCACATGAGCAGGTAGCTGCCTGGTCCCTGGGAAAGTGAGGACCGGACAGGGCCCGTGGGGTCTGGTTCCTAGAGAGCCTGGAGCCCCGTATGACCCTCCAGGGCCGGGGGACACGGGTTCCGTCGGCCATGGCAGGCTCGTTCCTGAACCTACATGTACGCAGGCTCTGGGTTTGTCCTGACCCAGGCACCGATGGGGAACGTGGCTATTTTTCTCAAATACCATCCCATGTGTGTTCTCGACTCCAGGGTCTTCCCTTATCAACCCAGAAATCTATGTGAACAAAATGGAAAACAGAGCCACAGGTGTCTGTGAGAGAGTCCAGACTGGTGGAGGACAATCGTCATGACATGGCAATGGGAAAGAAGGCAAAGCCATCCGAACCCCACCTCTGCCACTTACCAGCCATGGGACTTCAGCGGAGCTCCTCAACCTCTCCGAGCCTCAGTTGCTTCATCTGGAAAGTAGAAAAAAACCCTCAGGCTTCTCTCTAGGAGGGTGTGAGCTCTGATGGGAGTTTCTGTTGTGCCCAGTGCACACGCAGTGTAAATGCAAAGTGCCATGTGCCACGCCTGCCAAGCCCCAGTGTGGGGAGAGCAGGACTGGAGCCAAGGGACCGGCTGCTGAGGCTTCGGGTCCCCAACTAAAATGAAAGTTCTGACTGTATGATCTACACTGTCACTTCCTGTTGTTAAAAAAAAAGCTAAATCTGGAGTTTTAACCAGCAATGTAAGACACGGGGGTGGGGAAGGGACAAATCAAAGGTGGCCAGGACACAGGGCTCTTGGCTCAAACTCTGAGGGATGAGGAGGGCCCGGAGAGACAGGAAATGAGAAGAAGGCCTGCTCCTGGCCGTGTGCCTGGCTCCAACTTAAGCCCTGGCACATTCATTATTTATTTATTTATTTTTGGCGGTTTTTGGCTGGGGCTGGGTTTGAACCCGCCACCTCCAGCATATGGGGCCGGCACCCTACTCCTTTGAGCCACAGACACCGCACATTCATTATTACGTTAGGACTGTCCCTGCAGGAGCTCCAGCCCCACAGCCCCATGGAGGACACTGCAGCTCAGAGGCTGAGCAGCTGGGGTGGGGGTGGGGGGCAGGCAGGTATCCAAGGGGTGGTGAGGACAGGACAGGATGGGGGCTGGAACCTGGGCTTTGGGTCAGAGGCCATCCCCTCCCCACAGTCAAGTGTATGCAGGTGACACTTGCAATAGGGCCGGCACAGATCCCAGTGGGCGGGGCAGGAGGTGGTTTTGGCTCTAGAATATTCTTCTAACTGGTAGAAAACAGAGAGGTGGTTATGTTGTGAAGAGAAAGAGAACATGAGTCTGAGGATCAGGGAGGTGTCACTGCTTGGCTTAAGCTTTTCTCCTAAGTGCTGAGAGGAGAGCCCTGGGGGGAGTGGCAACAACCATAAATGACAATAAGGCCTTGGTCCCCTGTGAGGGGTGAAGAATGCTTTCTTGTTGGGAGAGGGGGTGGAAAGAACTTTCCGAATGGTGGAGACTGCCAAGCTTCCTTCTCTCCCTCTCCCCTGCACGACCTGGGCCATCAATAACGACGCTGGCAGCCCTCACACAGCAATATTCTTTGAGGCCTGTGGAGGGAAGAGGTGCCGGGCTGAGTCTCCTGCAGGGCCTGGCCTGAGTTCCCAGTGAAGTAACATTAAAGAGAAATTTGTAAAAACAGCAAACTAGTTTAATGAAAAGTAATTACTTTCTGGCACCAGCCGCATGTGCGGTTTGTGTACCTTCCCCCCTGTGCAGGGAAGCTTGGGGGAGGGACACAGTCTGGCACAGCCACTGTCAAGCGGGACTCGGGCGCACGGGCCGTGGAGCCAGATGGCCGGTACTATCCCAGGCTAACTGGCTGCACATCCTGCCGTGAGTCACTTGAGTCTGCCGTGCCTCAGTTTCCTCATTTGTAAAGAAGAATGGTGCCCACTTCCTCAGGGTGCTGACCAGCTTAGAAGATCAGTAACATGAGGAGCCCAAACCATGCCTGGTGCAGAGGCAGTGCCCTCTCAGGCTCCCCTGTGGTCATCACCGTCATTATCATCACCTGCTCGGGGTCAGAAGCGGCACACCTCACAGGTGTTTGTTCTTATTTCCCAGATAAGGAAATTGAGGCTCATAGGGTCAAAACTGCACATAATTAGTCACTGTAACCATAATTAACTAGCTGGGAAGAAGCTAAGAACTGCTCTCCCCCTGACACAGAGGGGCTCAGCTACCCTGGAGGCGGTGTGGACAGGCCGGCAGTTCCCATGTCTCTCCCTGCCCAGCTAACAGAGGCCTCTGCTAAACAAACAGCTTCACACACAGCCCTTCCTAAGCAAGGCCACATGTGGGAAAGGTAACAGGTGTGAGGAAGAAAAAACCACCTGGGGTTTCCAAGTGGCCATGTGGTCCCATGAGGACACTCAGGGCCGGTATGCTCCATGTCTGGGGGTGGAGACACAAGATCAAGAAAACACTCAGGCTTCTAAGTCTGATCCAGAAACTTCCACAGACACGAGGCAGTGAGTATACGTTCTCCTAATTCCCACCTGTCCCCAGCGGGATCCTGCAGGGTCATCACATGCTCTGTTGGGGGCAGTATCTACGGGAGGGGGAGGAGAAATACGTCACTTTGGAGTTCATAAGCACATTTTTGTAAACAATGACCTCTCTGAGTCAACTTTGACTGTGAACATTGTCCAACTACTTGGGACCAGCCACACAAGGCCTTGAAAAAATGCAAATCTGCTAAGATTTTGCTGGCAAAACAAGCCTTGCATTAACGTGATGAATCCTGGCTGACAGGAGACAGTGACTTGGCCAAGGTCACAAAGCAGGTCAGCAAGGCAGAGGGGAGGGCCGCTGAGGGCTCCTCACAGCCTGGTCACCTCTGTCAACTGCCTTGTGCTTCACTGTGAGAGTCGAGTATCTGTTTTCTGAACGCTTAGTTTGTGCCAAGAATTGGGAGAAGTGCCAAAGAGCATAAAGAGAAGCCAAATGAGGCGTTGTCATTACCGGGCAATGCCCAATCCTTTTAACCTGGGACACACTACCAGCAGGTCACCTGTTTTTACTCGGTGCTTACTTGGGAGCCAGACACTGTCCTAACCCATTTACACCATCACAGCAACCCACAAGACTGGCCCTTGCTATGGACTCAATTGTTAGAACTCCTGTCCCTATAAAAAGAGGAAGAAGCACTAGAAAGCTCTCTCTGTGCACAGAGAAAGGCCATGTGAGTACATAGCAAGGAGGCCGCCGTCTGTAAGGTAGGAAGAGAGCCCTCACCAGACACCATCCCTGATGACTCCTTCATCCAGGACTTCAGCCTGCAGAACTGTGAGAAAATACATTTCTGTTGTTTACACCACCTAGTTTTGGTACCCCTAGAGAACAAATGCAGAGCTATCAGTACACCCCCATTTCATAGGTGGGGAAACTGAGGCACAGTACATTCCCAAGAGCCACACGATTACTAAGTGAGAGCAGGAGTCAGACCCCAGCATCTGGCTGCAGAGCCCAGTTATTATGCAAGGATTTATTCACCACCTTCAGGCCTGCCCCCTCTCACTGAGGGAGGACCATGACCCTTCACTTTATGGACACTGGGCTTGCCCACGTCACTTGCTTTGGCTACCAGCTGGTGAGCAGTTATGGTGAGTGATATCTCGGGGCAGATGATGGAACTCCGGCTGTGTGGCTCTTTCATTTCTGGTCTAAGCATAGCCCGTTCTGGTGAGTAATGACTACCTTCAGCATGGACCTTAGACTGAGGAAATGTAGGAGGCACTCAGAGCCACAGCAGCCCTGCAGCAGACACACAGCCTTGTCACTTGCGATGTGAACAAGAAATAAACATTTATTGTACACAAGTCTTGGAGGTCCAGAGATTGTTACACAGCAGAGTTCCTCCTGCAATTATTCTGTCTCCTACCAATGAACATGTGACTTATGAGAACTAAGGAGATGGTCAGGAGACTGGAGTTTCATCCTGGCTCTGCTGTCTGGCAGCTCAGTGGCCATGGATAAGCCACTTCATCTCTGGACCTCAGTTTCTTCATCTGGGGTAGCATGAGTCCCCATGTCCTGGGCTGCTGCAAGGATTCAGTGAGATGACCCAGTGTTCCTGGCCCAGGGTCTGCAACGATTAGGTTGAGTGTGTGCTGTGTAAGTGTTGAAGACAGAACGGGCTGGATTTGAATGAAGTGCTGCTGCCTCTGTACATCCCTACAGCAGGTGCCATCTGGGCCAGCAGTGTGGGAGGTCTCCACCCACCGCACAGGAAGAGGCAGGAGGGCCAGTCCAGTGCAGGGGCAGCAGGAAGCAGATGGGGAAGAGCAGAAAGGTATCCCGGGCCCAGACAGTCACCGAAGCATGGAGGGGTCTGCCTCCTCTCCCCCACCCCCAGCTGTGCTTCATAGTTGAGAAACTGAGGCCTGAAAAAAGGGAGTGCTACCCCTAAGGCCAAACAGCTGTCCAGCCTCAGAACTTGGACTAGAACCTGGTCTCCTGAGACCAGCCTGGGCATCCTTCCATTGCCTCCTGCTCATCCAGGAGGAAGTGGGACTCATGCCTTATGCTGGCTTGAAAGAAAATGTCAAGTTTCTCTCCTCTCATGGGTGTATTTATCAAAACGCAACACAATTCAAAAGAGTTTTCTTTGAGTCACTCTAAAACCCCTCCCTTTCCGGGAAAGAGTCATGCCCATTCACCACAGTCCCTGGGGCTGAACCAGGAAGTCAACCCAACACATGAAATAACAGTTGTTGGTTTTGTTTTTCTGAGTCCTTATTTGTTGGTCTGTTTCCCACAATGGACAATGTTGGCAGAGCGTGGCCACAGGAAGGCACAGGCTTTGTCCTCAGAGAGGCCACCCAAGAGTAGGAGACAGAATGCTCCCGGCAGAGAAGAGACAGGTGAGGCCAGCACAGGCTGGGCCGGGCAGGGAAGGCATCGGAGAAGGGGTGAAACTGGCAGCTGTTCTGCAAAGACAGAAAAACTGTGACAAAGCAAGAGAGAAAAAGAATTCTAGAGTCTTGGAGAATAGTTTTGAAGAGTAAGGAGGAGAAACTTTCTGGGTTTCTCTTTTTGGGGGAAGTTGATAAACACGAGGAGAACCCATGATATGAAAATTCAAGAAGCTGGGTAGGGGCGAGCCTCAGGTTATTCTTCTGCAAAACAGGGAAACTGAGGCTAACTCTGAAGACATGGAGGGCTGACCAGTGATATAACACATGTGAAATACCCCAGAATAGGCACTGCACAAATTTGGAGTTGCAATACTCAATGCAACACCCACTGTTGAGGTAGCTTTACATGGGTCTCTTGCACATCTATGTGTCCATGAGCAGACACTCTAATGGGTTTTGATCTGGACTATCTTTCAAGGCTGAACAGAGCATGGGACATAGAAATTGTGTCTCCCTCTAGAACAGGGCTCAAGTTTGCTTACTA